TTATGTCAGCACCTACATAAATTTACATATATGCATATCCATAATGCCATAATTATGTACTCTTTGTACATAAATGTGTACTCTTTGACTTTAGTAGTAATAACATCTAATTATACTCATTTAATCCTAACACCCCACCATAAGGAATGTACTATTACAGTCTCCATTTCCTACATGAGAAAACCACAGGGTGAAGAGGATACAAACAGGTGTATATTTTATCTGATACTGAAAAGTTAATTGCATGATATTTCTGCCACTTCAGGTGATATCCTCACATCTAGTAACAGCAACATCAGTAAGAGAAGGGTATAGATGATTACAGAAGATGTAGAAGGACAGCAATGATCATGAAAAATTGCTGAGATCACAGAATAATAAAAGCCGATGTTGGAATCATGGTTATTAGCTCAAGCATCCTATCTTTCCAATCTTTCTCCTTTTAGATGCTTATGATAGGATTATAAAAGAGAACTAAAATTGAAGATGCTCCAGATGAGATGCTTATTATCCCTTATCAGGGGGAAAATGGTTATTGAAAAGGAAGGAATGTTTTAATGAAAAGATCTATATGAAAAGCATGAAAGATTATTCTATAAGTAATTTAACTCTTTTTTTTCCCCACACACACCCAAAACAAGAAACCATACCTGATTCTGGTGTTCTGACAATTGTACTATCGATATAACCTGCTTCAGTTGTAACAGCAGAAACTTCAAAAAGATATGTTGTATAGGGTCTCAAATGTGTCACTACAAAACTGATCGGCTCTTTCCACACAGAGCTTATCTTACTCCGTGCCAACATGCTCGATGAATATGTGGTACGTGATGGAGGTGTAACTCTACTAAGAGTTGGAGAAGGGCTGGTTGTACTCCATAAAAAAGATTCATTATTCTCCTAGTGAACAAAATAAATATCAACAGGAAAAAAAATGTGTTATACCTTGGTGAACATGAGAAGTGTAATTAATTTCTTTTTCCTTTATATTATAAATATTATTCTTAAATGTGTGTGTATGTGTATGATTGGTTAAGATTTTAACAGATTAAGTAGCCCATTCAAGTTATGGACAAATTTGCAAGAATTATACCCATTTATGTCTACAGTTTTAGAGCAAAAAAAAAAAAAAAA